CTTTTAGCTTGTTGTGGCTAATGATGAGCTCATTGTGCACCCACTCAAGTTTATCATGTTTATTTTTAAGCTCTTTCTTAGAAGATTTGAGCTCCTTGAGTTTGGATGACATAACATCATTTGCTTCTCTAAGCTCAACATTAGTCTTTTCCGCTACATCACATTTAGCTAAAAGAGAATCATTCTTAATCTCAAGCTTTTCATTTTTAGCTCTAGTCTTTATAATGATCTTAGTGTATTTCTTTAGCAATTTAGCAAGATCATCATAAGAAGGTGATTCATATTTATCATCATCGCTATCACTATCACTATCATCATTATGAGCATGATCATCACCACTACTATCATCATCATGTGAAACCCTTCGTTCACCTTTGGCCATAAGGCATAGGTATGTAGAGGATGATGGCGGTGGTGGCGGTGAAGATGATGAAGAATCAATAACAATAGCGGCCACCTTCTCGTCGTCACTAGCATCATCGGATGATCCACTAGATGAATCAATGTCCGTGAGCCAATCACCGATAATGTAAGCATTTCCACTCTTCTTCTTCTTGTGGAAGTCCTTCTTGCCATCTCTCTTCTTGTATGGCTTGTTCTTTTTCTTCTCATCTTCATCTCCATTGCTTGAGTCATCTTTCTTGCCCTTGTTCTTGTTCTTGAACTTGTCTTTCTTGGGCTTTGTGCATTGGTGAGCTAGATGACTAAGTTCACCACAATTGTAGCAATCCATCTCGGAGATTGGCTTTCTTCTTGAGCTTGTGAAGAACTTCTTCTTGCCATCGAACTTGATGCCACTCTTGTTGAGCTTCTTTAGCATCTTGGCGGTTTGCTTGCAAGGCTTTCATCATCAACTTCATCATCACTTGAGCTCTCATACTCAAGCCTTGCTTTGCCCTTCTCTTGGCTAGCTTTGAATGCTAAGTCTTTTTCTTTCTTCTTTGTAGAGGATGAGCCATCTTGAGGTGTGATGTGCATGTACATCTCATGAGCATTGATCTTCCCCAAGATTTGTGTCGGTGTAGCGGTGGAAAGATCACCTTGATGTAGCACGGTCATAATATGCCCATATTTGTCAATGGGGAGGACAATCAAAATCTTTCTTACAACATCGGATGGTTACATTTGAGTGAGTCCAAGCCCATTGACTTTCTCTACAAGAACTTTTAAACGTGAATACATTTCATTAGCACATTCTTTAGAAAGCATTTCAAAAGAGTTGAGCTTTTTCATGACAAGATGATAGCGTTCCGCATGCTCACTCTTTGTTCCCTCATGGAGCGCACAAACGTCCGACCATAGTGCATGGGCGTCTTTGTGGTTCCTCACCCGATTGAACACATCTTTACAAAGGCCTCTAAATATGGTGTTTCTAGCCTTTGCACTCCATTTTTCATAGTTCAACTCATCGCCTTGCGGGTGTGCGGCATCCCGAGGTTTTGGGAAACCTTGTGAGGCGGCTCTAAGTATTCCAACATCTAGAGCTTCTAGATACGCCTCCATGCGAATTTTCCAATATGGAAAATTGTCCCCCTCAAGGATAGGAGGAGGTCCATCCCCGTGAGACATCTTTCACTAGGCGGTTAAGCCTAAATATGTGAGCACGAGGCTCTGATACCAATTGAAAGGATCAAGATGCCCAAGAGGGGGGGTGAATTGGGCTAATTCTAAATTTTTTTGTAATAATTAAATCCTACGGTTAGTCCAATTAACCCCTTATGCCTAAGTGTTTCTAGTTGTTCTACCGCACAAATGACTTGCAACCTAAGTTCCAATCCTACTCTAGCATGGCAATTCTATGAATTGTAAAGACAAGAATTGAATTGCTCAATGTAAATACTCAAAGTAATTACTCAAAGGAAATACTCAAAGTAAATGCTCAAAGTAAATAGAGAAGTAGGAACGCGGCGATGTTTTGCCGTGGTATCGGAGAGTCGCCACTCCCCACTAGTTCTCGTTGGAGCACCCGCGCAAGGGTGTTGCTCCCCATTGATCCGCGCAAGGATCAAATGCTCTCTATGGGTTGATTCTTCGACACTCCATCGCGGTGAATCACCCACAACCTTTCACAACTTGAGTTGGGTCATCCACAAACTCTCCGGATGATCACCAAGCTCTCCAATCACCACCAAGACGTCTAGGTGATGACGATCACTAAGAGTAACAAGCACGAACTCTCACTTGACCACGACAAGCCTAGGGAGAAGGGTGGATGCACACTTTGCTACTCTTGATCTCACTAATGAGGGCTCTCTTTGGGATTCTCAAATCTCAATCATCTCACTAGGACCTTGCTCTTCTTGGCACTCTCTAAGGTGTGTTTCAGCTGTTGGAATGAGCAAAAGTGGCTCCACACACGAGTGAAGCTTCTATTTATAACAAGAGCTGAAAAACGAACCGTTATGTGCCTCTACGGGGTGACCGGACGCTCCGGTCATATTGACCGGACGCTCCGATCAGTACACCCCGAACTCCAGTGTTTACAGTGTGACCGGACGCGTCCGGTCACAATTTTCCCTCTCTGGAACCTTACTGGAAACGATTGGACGCTGGCTCTCAGCGTCCGGTCACTTGACCTTCCAGCGTCCGATCACACCGAACGATTTCTTCTCAGTCAAATGAACTGACCGGACTCTGCGCCAGCGTCCGGTCACACCGAAGCCAGCGTCCGGTCAGTATTTGACCCTCCATTCACTTTCAACTCTCGATCATAGGTGAATGAAGTTTGCTCCAAAGGATCTTAGACATATGTAGGAGCTACCTAGCGCTAGTTTTGATAATTGTGTACCACACCTAACTCACTAGACTCACCTAGGTCAAGCTACCCGTCCATACCCCCCTTAATAGTACGGCCAAAGGAAAAAAACAAAGTCCTAAACTACTCCAAGTGTCTCTCCAACTCTAATCGACACTTAGAACTAGTCATCCTTAACCTTGTCGTCCGTCCTTTGAAAACCGAAATGATTTCCATCGTAGGGGCATGACCACCATGATTGCCCAATAGATCTTCATTACCATGACCTAACTTAATTGTCTCTGCAAAACACACGTTAGTCATAGTAATCTTGTATTGTCATTAATCACCGAAATCCAACTAGGGGCCTAGATGCTTTCACCCGCCACGTCGGCAAAAACCTTGATTCGATGAGTTATGGACCTAAGTGGCATACTTAAACAACATTAGGGTGCCAGAAATACGATTAGAGAGTTTGTGGACCTAAGTGGCACCACGAGACAAGTTCAAGGGCCTACAATGCATATACCTCATTTGGTAATTAGATTGTGTTGGAACTGATTGATCAACTTGCTTACATAAAAAATAGCATCTGTATATTTGAGACCCAAGAAAATAGATGTGTAACCCACGGTTGTTCTTTTTCAAGCCTTCTTTGGAACGCGGGAATTTCACATTCATAGGAATTAGTTTATTTTTATCAGAAAAACTGAGGAAACATGAAAACCTCCTCCAATCCAAAGGGAGCCTTATCGATGAGATTAGACTTTTTCTCTACTTTTGACAATAATATGTTAAAGTAATAGACCATTTCTCTAAACCATACATGTCCATCGGCATTGTGTTTAACTATTGTTCTTTTATTTTGCAAGGAGAAACCACATATTGTGTTGCTGCTGAATTCTAGTAGTACAAATCATGCTCTTCTTTGCCCTGGAATATGGCTCATCAGCCTCTTTGCCCTTGGTCATGATGCTCAAATAGTTTTGGTTTTGTGGTTCAAGTGTAAAGTTCAGCATTTATGTCATATAAACTAAAATACTGGATGCCTGGAAACTTTTGCCTTATCCCTTCTTAGACAAAAGCATTGTAGGTAGTCCTCTAATTTATGTTTATTCCATTTTTTTCTAATTTATATTTATTCTTCGTGGAACTGGAACTGGAAGGTTTACCATCTGAATGCGTTCCCATACCAGGATGAACTAAAGATGTACACCCAGTATCAGAGGCAACATGTCATTAAGTAGAAGAAAACTATTGGAATATTTACTTCGATAAAAGCATCTCCAATAGTTCCTAATAAAGTCTCTCAATCTAGGTTTTTGACAAGAATGAAAAAAATCCATCTCCAAGTGTTCTCAATCTCACCTCCAAATCTTTTCGTGCTTGAAAAAAAAAGAACGGTTGCGCAGATATATTGGCATGGGAGATACGCATATCCATGTGCCAATCTAAAGGTGAGAGGTCGAGAAAAAGAATAAAGAGTAGAAAAATATTCCTGATGCAAATGTACAAGAGAAAATGAATAAATAGAAGTGGTTAGAATGATTTAAAAATAATATAAGATTCCTGATCTAAAATTATCTTCTATATTTTAGGATTGAATTATTGGAAACCATTAGAAATTGTCTCATTTATTCCTCATGAGTTGGAAAACTCCATGATTTTGAAAAAAATTGTTTGGAACTCTTAGAGATGCTCTAAGTATCAGATATGGTACTCTTTTGAGTGTCTTCTCAAAAAAAAAGAAAAAAGAAGAAAAAGGACAACAGAAACCTGCTATTGACTGATGAGGAAGCATTCAATAGCAGAGTGGTCTTGTGGACAGCATAGTATTCCAAAAAAAATGACACATCAAACCATGGCATTTCATCAAATAGTGTTAGTGTGTTACAGAAAAGGTATCAGTCCGAACGTTATATAATCATACGACCAAATTGGTAGAATTGAACGACACAGATACAATATGTTAGTACTGCCAAAACGCCTGTTCATTCAAATGTAAGAGCACCCTTTCCCGTTTCAACTGCACTGTCACCAGTCTCCCATAAGACATAAGCAATTGATGAATAGCCGGAACAGAAGGATACAAATTTTACAATGGTGACCTGTACTTACAGATTTTTGTTTCTATGTAAGGATCTGAGTTATATATGTGGATATACCATGTATACCGACAGTGCCAATACCGACGGATGTCATCAGTTCTTACCAGTTGACTGCTACCCAAAATAATCTGTCTAATATAACAAGTAGTCACCCAATTCTATACAGAGTTAGTTGCATTAGAAATAGAGGCAAGCAATTTCTTTCGTGTATGCTGTTCAGAGCCAGGGGACTTGATAACAAAGGAATGCTCAACTGTCCCGTTGTTGGCTGTGACCTTCGACTCACCTACTTTGACCTCTGCATCTTCAAATGCTTGGAGCACCTTTTGTATTGGATGGTTTTCAATCTGAGATACCGCTCGAACAAGAATCTCACCTTGCACCACCTGGATGTCCACTTCTGGCCCAGGTGTTTGCTCTGGAAGTCGATCCCGCTCTGCTTCCAACTTTTCCAGTTTCTTCTTGAGATCACTGATATGCATTACAGCATCTTCCAGAATGGATGCCTTGTCCATTTTTGAGATGTTGGGCACAATAGCTCTCAGAGCACAGAATCGCTTGTTGAGCTTTTCCCTTCTCTGACGCTCAGCCTCAACATGGCTAAGCGGTGGTTCCTCCCTCCCGTTTGTTGGTTTCCTTTCCCTCTTCCTTGGCTGTCGACCCTCCCTTTCCTCATTGAACAAGTCACTCGCATTGCCCTTCCCCACATCCAACATGGCTTTTTGAGAAATCGAAACACCAAACTTGGAACTGGACCCTACTCGAAAATCTATTTGCATTGGCCCCCGGGGCTGAGATGCTTGTTGGGCCAAGATCAGCTGTGGATTTTGAAGCTGAAATGCGCTCACTGTGGTGCTATGAGAAGCTCCATTGCTGCAATTTGCAGTCTCGCTTGTCTCAACTAAGATACCATTGCCAAACTTCTGCTGGTCAGAATTCAGGCCTCGAGACTGACTCAATGAGAAATTCTGCAAACCTTTCCGGAGATTAGGTAGCAACCTGCTCTCTGAAGGTTGGCTGATACTCAAATCCTTCCCAAAAATCATTGAACTTTCATCCACCTTTGATGGATCAGCTCCTTTGCTGTCTGAAGGTTGGCTGATACTCAAATCCTTCCCAAAAATCTTCGTCAAACTTGGCGATATTTGAACAGAACTATTATCCTCATGCTTCTCAATTGCTATCCTGTTACTGCATGTCCCAAGAAACATTGACCTCATAGTTTGCAGAGCTTCAGCACTCTCTGGTACATTCTGCATTGAACCTACCTCAAGTACACCAGCTTTGAATGGTACTAGCACAATGGTCTTGAATCCTGCTGCATTTGCAAGGAATCCCCGGTAACAATAATTTGCTGGGGAAACATTGTGCTTATTGTTTGGAATCCAAAGGGGTGCCCCTGCACCAAAAACTTTCCCAGGACCACCAACGTGACGTGGAAATGCAAAATACATAGATGCTAGAAAGAATATTTCAGTGTTAGTGACCTGGTCAATTCCAGGAGCATAATCCTTCTCATCAGCCCCAGCAAATGCTGTGTGCAACCTCTGCAGCACCCGCTTCCGCATCTTCTGTCTGGTCACCAAAGATGCATCACCAACACTCATAGATGTAGCAAAGCCAATCTCACTATCATGAGGTTCACGGCAAGATCCATCACCCCAGCCAAGGACAATAGCACCAGATTTTGTGCGGGAGAGCTGCCAGAAGATGGCATAATCCCAACGAATGCTCTGATCATCAGCCTCAACTAGGTTCTGGAGTTTATTTTGCAAATCTGCCAACACAGATGCTGCTACAAGACCTTCAGATATGGCACCACCACATTTTGTCAGATATGTGAAGGCATCCGAGCCCAGCACGGAGGAACAGAGGGTTTTGTCTTCCTCGGTCCAGAACTGTCCAATGCTTACCTCTTCTATCTCTGTCTTCATGAGTGCATAGCCTGCTCAACAGTGCTATGAGTCAGGTCACCAGACAAGAAAATCATAACAAACTCCGACAATGATTGGCTAAACTAACAATTTGAAAGCAAATTTGCCACAAGGAGTGCACTTTATTAACCACCTACAGCTCAAATGATAAAGTGGGTATTACTTGAATTTGTGGACACTATATGTGTCATGTGGGGCCGCACTTACGCACGTCAGCGAAGGGCCCGTGATGTCAGGCGGGCCGCAGCACGCGCTGAGGCAGCAGGCCCGGGTGATCAGGAGGAAGGTGCGGCTAAGGAAAGTGGCTGATTTGATTAGATAAGTGATTGGCCTAAAGTTTAGGGGATTCATCCCTAATTAGTTATTTCCTATTTTATTGTTGCCAAGTGTGGCAGCCCACGGGCCTATATAAACTGTACTAGAGGTCATGATCAAGCAAGCAATAAAGTTATCCCTAATCTCTCTCTATTCTCTGTAAGCCTACGGAAGAGGGGTATAACCTCACCGGAGAAGACGGCCGACGGCTACGAGCTCCGTAGCCGCGGTCCAGCCAGTCAGGGGTTTGCTGCCCTTGACAACCTGGTATCAGCCTCCAGGCGTTCCCATTCCCGGCGATCCTCGCCCACCCGCCCCACCCAATCCACCACAGCCGCCGCCCACCATCCCAGCAGCCCGCCATCACCACCATCATCCTCCGCGTCCGCGCCGCACCCAGCCACCATGAGTGAGCCGACTATGGCCGACGTGATGGAGATGCTGAAGGCCCTCACTTCGGAACTGTCAACAATGAAGTCCGACATGGCGGCCATGAAGGACAAGGCGTCGTCCTCAACGGACAGCAGCGCCGGCGGCCGCCCGGACGGGGCGCGCGATCTTGATCGCCCTCCGAAATTCCAGAAATTGGATTTTCCCCGTTACGATGGTAAGACCGATCCGCTGCTCTTCATCAACAAATGCGAATCATACTTTCGCCAGCAGCGTACCATGGCGGAGGAGCGCGTTTGGATGGCCTCGTACAACCTGGAGGACGTCGCCCAGCTCTGGTACATCCAGCTCCAAGAGGATGAGGGTACGCCACCATGGGGGCGCTTCAAGGACCTCCTGAACCTCCGGTTCGGGCCTCCCCTCCGTTCGGCTCCGTTGTTCGAGCTCGCCGAGTGCCGGCGTATGGGTACAGTAGAGGAGTACTCCAATCGCTTCCAGGCCCTCCTGCCGCGTGCGGGTCGTCTGGAGGAGGCACAGCGCGTCCAGCTCTTCACCGGCGGGCTCCTGCCACCACTCAGCCACGCCGTCCGCATCCACAACCCGGAGACGTTGGCGGCTGCCATGAGCCTGGCCCGCCAGGTGGAGCTGATGGAGGTTTAACCACCCGGCGCCGGCCCAGCTTCAACGCCATCACACAGCATCATGCTCGCGCCGCGCCACGACCAAAGACTTCCGGCGCTTCCGACGAATCGGGCGCTCCGGCTCCACAGGCAATGCCCAGCCAAAGAGGCCGCATTGAGGGCAATCACCGGCGCCTCACCCCGGACGATATGCGGGCGCGCGCGTGTGCGGGTCGTGTGTTTCAATTATGATGAAAAAATACACGTGGCCACAATCGGTTCTGCGGCGCGATCTTCTTCGTGGGCGGCGTGGAGATTGAGGACGCCATGGACGCCATGCGACGACGCCAACACGACGCCACGGCCTACCGCGCCTTTTTCCCCTGACGCATGGTCGGGGTCCCCGTGGCGGGCACTATGCGATCGCCGTGGTTCTCGGTACCGCGCCCTCGCCGCCTCTTTGACTCGGAAGCACGCACAACTTCATTTCGGAGGAGGCAGCTCGACGCTCCGGTCTACCCCACCACCAGCGGCCTCGCTCACCGCCTTGGTCGCCAATGGTGAACGAGTCGCCTGCGCCGGGGTCATCCGCGACGCGCCCCTACTCGTCGATGGCGAGGCGTTCCCGGCCGATCTCTACGTCATGTCACCGGGCCGGCATGCGACGTCGTCCCTCGCACCGGTGGCTTTCTGAGTTGGGGCCCATCGTGCGGGACCTTGGCGGTAATGGCGCGATGACCTTCCAGCGCCATGGGCGCCCGTCACGTGGACCGGCGTGGCACGTCGCCGGTGCCGCCTTTACGCTGCGACAAAGACAGCGCCGAAAGCGCGTCCCCTCGATGAGTCTGCTGCCGCCACATTCGGCCGACGTCTTCACCGAGCCCACGGGCTTGCCACCGCCGCGCGCCCGCGACAAAGATCGCCCTCCAACTCGGGCGCACCTCCGGTGGCCGTCCCGCCCTACCGTGCGGCGGCCCACAAGGACGAAACTCGAGCGGCGATCGCCGCCATGATCGCCAGGGATCGTCCGCGCCAGCGACTTCGGCGTTCTCCTCGCGGTCCTCCTCGTCAAGAAGGCGGATGGTTCGTGGCGGTTTTAACGTCGACTACCGCGCCTCAACGCCGTCACCATCAAGGACGCCTTCCCCATCCCGTCGTCCGATGAGTCATTGGACGAAGCCGCACGGGCTCGCTTCTTCACTAAGCTCGACCTCCCGGCCGAGTTACCACCAAAAGTGATGCGGCACGAGGACATCCACAAGACGGCGTTCCGCACCCACGACGGCCTGTACGAGTTCTTGGTGATGCCATTCGGCCTCTGCAATGCCCCGGCAACATTCCAAGCACTCATGAACGACGTGTTGCGTGCCTACCTCCTCCGCCCGGTTTGTGCTTGTTTTCTTCGACGATATTTTGATCTACCCCGGTTCACGGACCACCTCCTCCGACACCTCCGCGTGCGTCTTGACTCTCTTCAAGCCAACACCGCCTCTTCGTCAAGAGGTCGAAGTGCTCGTTCGGTGTCGACTCAGAGCTATCTCGGCCACATCATCTCCGCGGCGCGGCGTAGCCATGGATCCCGCCAAGGTCCAGCCGCCATACGGCGATCGCCACGGCCTCGCTCCGCTGCGTCTTTGTCTGCGGCTTCCTCGACTGGCGGGCTACTACCGGAAGTTCGTCCACAACTACGGCACCATCGCCGCCCCTCATCAAGCGCTCCCCGAAGAAGAGGGTTCACGTGGAACGACGACGCCACGGCCGCTTTCACCGCCCTTAAAGGCGGTGTGACGTCCGCCCGTCGGCGCTTCCGGACTTCAAAGAAGCCCTTCGTCGTCGAGTGCGACGCGTCTACCTACGGCCTCGGGGCGGTCCTCATCCAGGAGGCGCATCCGATTGCGTTCTTCAGCAGGCCGGTGGCGCCACGACACCGCTCCCTTGCGGCATATGAGCGGGAGCTCATTGGCCTTGTCATGGCTGTGCGGCATTGGCGGCCGTACTTGTGGGGACGTCGCTTCTTCGTCAAGACGGACCACTACAGCCTTAAGTACCTCCTCGACCAGCGCCTCGCGACGATCCCACAGCATCACTGGGTCGGGAAGCTACTCGGCTTCGATTTCTCCGTCGAGTACAAGTCGAGGGCGACCAACACGGTGGCTGATGCCCTCTCGCGCCGCGACACCGACGAGGACCCGGCGGTTGCACTCATGGCGATCTCGGGCTCTCGCCTCGACTTCATCAGCCGTCTACGCCAGGCCCAGTCAACCAACCCCGCCTTGGTGGCCATCCACGACGAAGCCAAGACGGCACCAAGCCCCTTCGGGATTGGCCGACAAGATGGTCACCTACGGTGGGCGCCTCTACATTCCGCAAATCGCGCCACTCATCGCAAGAGATCCCGGGCACCGTCCACGACGATGGGCACGAGGGTGTCCAGCGCACCTTGCACCGCCTCCGCCGCGACTTCCATTTTCCCAACATGAGTCGTTGTGTGCAGGACTTTGTGCGCCAGTGCGTCACTTGCCAGAGGTACAAGTCGAGCATCTTCATCCACCGGGTCACATCATCGCCACGCCCATTCCCACAGCCAGTGGGCCCACATTGGCCTCGATTTTGTGGAAGCGGCGCGCCGGGTGAATGGAAAGTCGGTGATCCTCTCCGTCGTCGACCGCTTCAGCAGCAAGTACGCCACTTCATACCCTGGCGCACCCGACACCGCCGGCCGAGATAGTGGCTCAGCGTTCTTCACCGACATCGTGGCGCCTCCATGGCTCTCGCCGCGATCCATGGTGTCCGGCCGTGACCCGTGTTCACTTCATTGCTCGGCGCGGTGATGATGCCTCATGGGCACCAAGTCGCACATGACCTCCGCCTTCCACCCCAAATCCGACGCGGCCAAACGGAGGCGGCCAACAAGGTCATTGTCATGTACTTACTGCTTGTTTCTACAGTGACCAATTTTAGATGGGTCGCGATGGCTTCCATGGGTTGAGTACGTGTACAACACGGCCTATCAGTCCTCGCTTCGGGAGACGCCGTTCCGCGTGGTGTACGGCAGCGACCCGCCCACCATCCGCTCATACGAGCTCGGTGAGACGCGAGTTGCGCAGCGATGGCGCGCGACACACGGAGGAGCGCGAGGCCTTCCTAGTCGATGTTCGCTACGCTTGGAGCAAGCATTGGGGTGTCCAGAAGCGCCACTACGACCAAAGCGGATCGCCGGTGCACTACCGTGTCGGCGATTGGGCGCTCCTGCGCTTTCGACAGCGCACCATGGCGTCCCTTCCTCAGGCGCAGACCGGCAAGCTGAAGCCGCTACATCGGGCCCTACCGCGTCTGCGAGATCATCAACGATGTGGTTGCAAGGCGTCTGAGCTTCCCCATGCTCGTATACATGATGTGTTTCATGCTCGGTACCCTCAAAGAAGTTCGCGGCACCCCCGGACGCTCCACCGGCTCGCCACACATCCACCATGGTACGGTGGCTCCAGAGCCCAAAGGGTTGAGCATGCTCGCTTGGCGCGAGGCGTTCGTCACCGATCGTCCATTGGCGCGCGAACCTCCGAGAGTCGGCCACATGGGAAGATGTCAATCCTTCCGCGAAAGGTTTCAGACTTCCACTTCGAGGACGAGTGACTCGAGGAGGGAGAGATGTCATGTGGGGCCGCGCTTACGCACGCGTCGTGAAGGGGGCCCGTGATGTCGGTGGCAGCAAAGACGCTACCGAGGCAAAGCAGAGCGGTGATCGGGGAGGAAGGTGCGGCTAAGGAAAGTGGCTGATTTGATTAGATAAGTGATTGGCCTAAAGTTTAGGGGATTCATCCCTAATTAGTTATTTCCTATTTTATTGTTGCCAAGTGTGGCGTTCTTACGGCCTATATAAAAACTGTACTAGAGGTCATGATCAAGCAAGCAATAAAGTTATCCCTAATCTCTCTCTATTCTCTGTAAGCCTACGGTAGGGGGGTATAACCTCACCGGAGAAGACGGCCGACGGCTACGAGCTCCGTAGCCGCGGTCCAGCCAGTCAGGGGTTTGCTGCCCTTGACAATATGCGAGACACGTTAGATGAGGAATTTTCCTTTTCTTTTAACGCACTCTTGGTGGCACACAGGTTTCTAAAACCCAATTCACAGGTTCAAATCCTGAATGTGAATCCAATTATCTTGTGTCAAAACAAAGTAAAACAAATTAAAGTACTCTAGACAGCAAAAAGTCCAAACAGTTTAGGTGCTTGTTTAAAGTTCCAATTTGAAACATTGTAATTTATCTCAATTACTCCTGTATCTACTGAAAAACAGTTCATATTCCAGGGAATCAATAGGTAATCTTAGGGATTGTTTGGTAGAGCTTGTCCTGTGTTGGATTCTGAGAGAAGTATTTTGTGGGTAAAAGTAATTCTCTATAGTTTTTGAGGATAAACTCTATAGAGGAACTCATTCTTTATGGGCAGTGAATCAGGAAAAGGTAGTTTTTTC